CCCAGGAAGCTCCAGCTGGACAGGAGGAAGAACTTCTTCCCTGGGCAGTGCCCCAGCTCTGAACAGGCTGCCCAGGGAGGGGCTGGAGTCTCCTCCCTGGGGAGATTCCAGAGCCCTCTGGATACAATCCTGTGCCCTGTGCTCTGGGCTGGCCCTGCCTGAGCAGGGAGGTGGCACCAGTGACCCACTGGGGTCCCTTCCAGCCTGACCCACCCTGGGATTCTATGATGTAACTGGCACCATGTGCAGTCCTGCCCTGGGGAGGGTGGTCACCACAACCTCCAGCTCTAGGACACTGGGGTGATACAAGGAGAACCTGGGCTGTGTGAGGCTGTAACACCGAGCAGGGGAGTTCAGTGCCACCCTTGATTACCTGACGTGCTGATCCCGAGCAGGTACAGCCCGAGTGCCACATCACCAGCCCTGCAGCAGCTGGTGCCTGTGAGCCCAGGTGTGTGCGTGGTGTTCATCCACAGATCAAATCATCAGCTGCTGCTTAATCAGGAACTGACTCCCTTCACGTCCAGTTAAATGTGTGCACAACTGGGGGGAGGTTGAGAGCTCCAGCACTGAGCCTGTTGGTGCTTTAGGGACCTGAAGCTCAGAGATAGGGGCAGTTTTCCAAGCATTTCTTCCAGCAGCAGGGCTGTTTGAAGCAAGCTTTGGTGGTTCAGGCTTTTATTAAAAGGGAAATGAAAAGGGAATAGGTTACTTTGAATTCCATTTGCTTTCCCAGACCGGCTTATAAAACATGCCCGGGAAGGGCAGGGTGGGAAGGTTACCTGAAGCACTAGTTTCCCCCTGTCCACAGCACCACTGTTCAACAGGATTTTTTAATTTTTGATGTATAAATTATAAAGTTAGTATGAAATATTCTGGTGAGTTTGTGATGCGGGAGTAGGGAGACGGTTTCTCATTTCCCGGCCTAACACATTCCAGGGAAGGTTTGGGGTGGATGTTAGGAAGATATTTCATCACTGAAAGAGTGGACAAGCACTGGCACAGGCTGCCCAGGGCAGTGGTGGAGTCATTGTCCCTGAAAGGGTTCCAGAAATTAGTAGAGGAGCACTTTGTGATGTGGTTTAGTGCTCATGAGGGTATTTGGATGAACATTGGACTTGATGATGTTGGAGAGCTTTTCCAACCTTAATGATTTTGTGATTCTATGAAAGGAAGAAAAGGAAATTGTAAGTTGAGTTGTAGAGCTCCCTGAGGCAAGATAATATTACAGTGAAGAGCTTAGGGGGAATTCAGAGGATTATTAGACATTTATAGAAATAATAATAAAGTTATCACACTTGTACCGGGTAGGATGTGAGTTTGCTAGAGGAAGGAACCCTCAAGGGTCATTGTATTAACCAGCCTCTTGCCAGGAGGACTTGGAGAGTTCTTCCTTGTAACTGAGTGTGGGGCTCCCATTGTGCCACCACATCTGCACCTGGGATGAGTCAGGAGCAAATCCCACATGAAATGGGCCATTGATGTTCTGCATCACTTGTGACCTTCTGCCCACCCCTGGATTTGCTGTCTGTGCTGGTTTCTGCCCTGGTGTGTGATGGGTTCTGCTGCACTGACACTCACAGGGGTGCCTTCCACAGAGAGAAGATGAAGGTGAAGCCGTGTTTGTTTGTTTAGAGGAAACACTCCTGATTAATGGTACCAACGCTGTTCTTAGTGCTGGGAAACAGCTGCTGACAGCGTGGGGCTGGCTGGGGTGAGCACCCCAGTTCCCTCCCGCTGCTGGGAAGTGGCTGTGGGGTGTGCTGGGGAAG